GGGCCGGTGACCTCTCCCCGATAGCGCGCGGGGACCGCCCGCCGCCGCTGCGGTGGCTTCATGCTGCTCCGAGGGGAGCCGGCGGTCTCCGGCCGTCTTTAAGCGCCCTACGTCAAAGGCGGGGCTACGGGGGGCCGCGGAGGCCAGAAAGCTTCGCGCGGAGACGGAGGCGGGCGGGGGCGGGGCTCGCGTCCGCGGACCGGAGGGCTCCGCCTCTGTTCCGACTGGGCGCTCGGGTGCAAGCCCTGGGCGGGACCCGGGAACCCGGGCGCTCGACCCGTCTTTTATAGCCCTCACTCGCTAACCTGGAGCCTGTTTTCGCGTGCCTTCCCTCTGCTCGGAACTCCCGAGACTGTTTTGCGTCTTGCAGAAGCGTGGCCAAGATTGCGCTTGTCGGGCCTGAGGGTGCACACCTGTAACCTAGCACTTGGGAAGCCAAGGCAGAAGGATCGCGACTTCCTAGCCAGTCTGGGCTTTGTAGCAATATCCTAGCTCGGTTTGGTTTTTGTTTTTTGTTTGTTTGGTCCGTCGTGAGCTCTTTAGTTCAAGGCAAGCGATCTACCGCTTGAGCCGCCACTTCCGGGCTGGCTTCGAACCAAGATCCTCAGATCTCAACCTCCAGAGTAGCTAGGATTACAGGCCTGAACCCCAGTCGCCTGGCTTTGTTTTTGTTCTTAAGAGGCGATAAGAGGCTGGTCTATGGGTTCAGACAGGCTTGGGGACTTTGTGCAAGTGATTTAAGCTCGGTGAACCTCAGTTTACTCATTCGTAAATTTGGATTACTAGTAGCACTCTTGTTTATGTGAAGAGGAGGGAGGAGCTTGGTAGCAGGGTTTAAGGAATTCCTCACTAAATGAATACTTTTTAATTTTTTTTTTTTGTCAGTTGTAGGGCTTGAACTCGGGCCTGGGTTCTGCTTTGTCTCTGAGCTCTTTTGCTCAAGGCTAGTGTTCCACCACATTGAGCCACAGCTCCACTTCTGGTTTTCTGGGGGTTAGATAAGAGTCTTAGGAACTTATCTGCCTGGGCTGGCTTTGAACCACAATCCTCAGATCTCAACCTCGTGATAAACTAGGATTGTAGGCTTGAACCACCAGCATCCAGCCCAAATGAATGCTCTTAAGAAGAGTCCAGAAGAGGGAGACTACAGTGGTCACAGGGTGGGAGCTGGGACTTACTTTAAACTTAAACTGGAGCCAGTAGCCAATGGCTCACGCCTGTAATCCTAGCTGTTCAGGAGGCTAAAATCTGAGGATCATGGTTCAAAGCTAGCCAGGGCAGGGAAGTCTACAGACTCATCTCCAATAAACCACTCAGAAAAATGGGAGTGGAGTTGTGGCTCAAGTGGTAGAGTACTAGCTTTGAGCTGAAGAGCTGAGGGACAGCGCCCAGGCCCAGAGTTCCAGCCACACGACCAGCAAACAAGCAAACAAAAAATTAGGATTAGATATCTCTTTGGAACAAAACACCCTGGAGTGTGGGCATAGAAGCCCTGCCCTGTATATAGAGAAGCCCTCTAATCCACAGCCCAGCGGGCGACGGAGGGGGGGGGGGGAGGCACTCAATTCTGATCCCAGAAATGACCTGCCCTAGCCTCTCCTTTCTGCTCCTGGCTCTTTGCCCACAGCCTGACTCCACTAGAATTAAGCAAGTCAGAACAGGAGTTTATTTTGAGGTGGGAGAAGAAGAGTGAAGGAAGATCTTGGGGGTAGTGGTCCTCAAGGGTCATGTCCAGGGACATAGGTCTGATTCTTTAAGGTCTAGAGTCCTGAAGCCACAGTTGGCTGCATTTCTGGTCTTCTGCTGGGTCAGGTCATCCCTGGGGAGGGGTGGCAGAGTTAATAAGGTGGGAACATAACCGAGGCCAACCCCTCCCCAGCAGACATTGGCTTCTTCCATCCCATCAGTTGCTGTGTGGGGTGACAAGCAACTTGTCTCCTACTGCCCTGTGTTTGAGGACTTTTTTTCCCCCTTTGTGCTGGTACTGGGACCTGAACTCAGGACCTTACACTCTCGCTTGCCTTTTTGGGGGGGGGGGGGGTCGTGGGGCTTGAACTCTGGGTTTGGGCGCTGTCCCTCAGTTCTTCAGCTCAAGGTGAGCACTCTACCGCTAGAGCCACAGCGCCACTTCCTGTTTTCTGAGTGGTTTATTGGAGATAAGAGTCTCAAGGACTTTCCTGCCCGGGATGGCTTTGAACCCTGATTCTCAGATCTCATCCTCTCAAATAGCTAGGATTACAGGTGTAAGCCAATGGTGCCCAGCTTGGGGGGACTTTTCTATCTAGAATCTGCACTGTGCCACGGGTGATCCTCTTCGCCGCCCCCCCCCCCCCCCCCCCCCCGCCACAATTCCTGAATTCGAATCCTACCCCAAATCAAGATTTTTGGCAAATCACTTAACCTCAGACCATGTCTCATTTTGCTTGTCTCTAATGTGGATTATAATAATAGCTATGTAGTTGTTAGGAGAATTAATGTGGGCAAAACATTTTGGAAGCGTGCCTAGAAAGAATAAGTCCCTCCCCCCTTCTCCCCCCTTCTCCAGCTCTTAGCTCCACATCTCCCTTACCTTCCTCACTGGGGCCTGGCGGGCTGGGGGCGGCAGGTCGAGGCTGTGGCTGGCTGGCTGGGGGGCGGGGGCGCTGGAAGGAGAGGCTGGCTGTGCTGGGGGAGGGGGCGGCCCGCCGTGCCAGGGTCAGCGCGCCCCCTGGGGGCTGCGGCCTGCGTAGCAACCGCAGGTCTAAGCGGCGTCAGAACCCGCGGGCGAGGATTCCGGCCACCTTTGGGGGTCTGCGCGCGTGGGAACGGGTGGGGGGCGGGGAGAGACTAGGGACGCGGGGGAGGCAGGCTGGGCAGAAGGCGATACCTGAATGTGAGCAGACAAGGCCAAGGCCGGCGGCCAGCGCGGCGCCCAGCACAAAGGCTGCCACCACCAGCGCCACCACCGGCGCGGGCTCCAGGGCCACCAGGGCGGGAGCGGGAGGTTCGGGGCGCACGGCCCGGCCAGGGAGGATCTTGGGCGGCCCTGTAAGGAGAGCACCATTGAGAATGGGCTCCGGAGGCACTTGTCCTCTTCCCTCTCTGGAGGAGGGGGACCCCCGCGAGCTTACTGGGGGGCAGCCGCGGCACCGTGACCACGATGGGCTGCGTGAGCGTGTGCAGATGCAGATTATCCGCGCTGAGGTTCCCGCCGCCTGCGCACGCCCCGTCGCGAGGCAGACACTGCGGATAGACGGAGGGAAGAGACGCCGGCCTCAGCCCTAAGGCCAGCCAGCCAGCCAGGGGCACTAGGGAATCTAGCGTCCACTTTCTGTCCACTAGGGAAGCTTGGCACAGAGCCGCAGGGGCCTCTGTGGGGGTCTTGGTGTCCAAGGAGGGACCCTGTATGAACCCTCAGCCTCCAGGGATCTCTCCATCGCAAAGCCCTTCGGAGCCGCCGTGGCCGGCCGGCGGGGCGTCCCTGCGCCCCGGCGCCCCGCTCGAGCGCGCACCCGCGATGGCGCTGGCGGCGGTGGCGGCGGGGTGCGCGGCGCGGGCATCCGGCGGGCATCCCGGAGGCGGCGGCAGCGGCTCAGCTGGCAGTGCAGGAACTGGATGGAAGCGTTGAAGACCGGATGCAGACGGAAGCTGAAGCGTGCCGGGGGTCGGGAGGCGTCGGGGGACGGCGGTGACGGGAAAGCGACCGAGGGGTCGGCCGCGCAGCCCCCACGCAGTAGCGGCAGGGCGGGCTCCCGGGCTGGGTGCGAGGACGGAGTCATGGAGCAGCGGTGCAGGGCCAGGCCCCATCGCAGCGCAGGCCGAGCCAGGGCTGCCTGGGGGAGACGGTGGCGCCATCAGAGTCAACTTGTCCCCACTGGCCCCAGGCCCCCGCGCCCCCCGCCGTGCCCCGCACCTGCACGAACACGCGGCTGCCGGCCGGGACCTCGAGCGGCCCTGCGCGTCTTGGGACGGTGTCCTCTGAGTCAGACAGCTCCAGACTGAACAGGGGGCCACGCACCCAAGGCTGGGTAACCCTCGGGAACGGGGGCGCTAGTAGGGGAGGTGGCACCGTGGAGGGAGGGCCTGCAGCAGAGCCCCGACCCCACCCCCCTTGACCTGGGCTGTGGAAGTGATGGCCCTGCACCCCAGGCAACCCGGGGCCTGAGCAGGAGGCCAGGCGTGGTGGAGAGGACCCTTCCTCCCCTCCCCATGACGGCGAAGGGAGAAGGGAGACAGAAGCTTGACCCAGCCTTAGAAGGGCCTCTGCAGCCTCCTTTCTAAAGGGAGGCTGGGCTGTCATTCACAAACTCAGGGCAGGAGGGTGTCTGCCCCAGCAGCAGAGGGCCCGGTCTCCTATTCCAAGGGACCCAGCCTTTAAACGCACTGCGATGAGCTAACTTGTTACATACGATCTCAAGTCTGCTGGCTCCAACCCCACAGCCCTTGTCCTCATCTGGGGGCCCTAAGGGAGCTGGGATGGAGGCTGAGGTAACCGCCCCGCCCCCCATCCTGATGGGAAAGTCGGGAAGGGAGGCAGCAGCAGCCCAGGGATCTCGAGCCTCTACATACCAAGTGGCCCACTGGGGAAGGAGATGGCTGCTGGGAGCAGGGCCAGCAACAGGAGCATGGTGCCAAGCATGCTGGACTGGTGGAGGCAACCCTCTGGGCTGCACACACACCTCTGGCTGAAGGTGGGCAGGAGCCCTGGCCTTGGCAGGGCGGAAGCCCCGGGAAGCGGGGGTGGAGGACCGAGGGGCTGACATCTGAGCCGAGCCCAAGGCCTGCAGGGATTAAGGGCTCCTTTCCTGCTCTGCCTGGGATGACTGGGGACAAGGGGTCCCTCACAGAAGCTGCCAGGTGTCAGGCAAGCCACTCTGCACACCCCTTACCTACTCAGCCCTGCCCATTCCCCTCAAAGCTGAATTCTCATTCATCAGAATGGTGGCCCAGAGAGCAATCCCCTCCCCTCCCAACTCTCACTCTGCGCACCAGGTGGTGGTGGGCTAGGGACACAGCACAGACTCAGAAGAAAAGGGAGGGGCTTTATTCTCAAGCATCTAAGGGCTTACAAACAAGGGCATTTTATTTTAAAAAGGGACAGGGCAACACTAGTGGCCTGAGGAGTCCGTGGGCCAGCAGGCTGGACCAGACCAGGCCATCCAGGCCCTGACCGACCCCATCCAACCCTCTGCCAGGTCCAGAGGGGTGGGCTGGTGACGGAGGGGCCATCTTGGGAGAGGAGGGGGAGGTAGGAGACTCCCCTAGGGCTCCCATGTAACACTGAAGGGAGGGGTGGGGTAGACACACGCTCACAAAACAGAAAATAAAGTTAAATAAAAATTTAAAAATAAAACAAAACACAGGCAGCGTAGTCTCACACCTGTGCTGGCCCTAGGACCAGCCAAGTGACCTTCCAAGCTGCCTACACTGGGGCTGGCCTCAGTGAGAGGGTATGGGGTCCAGGTCTGTTAGCCCCCCCTCCGCCCCCCCACAAAGGGGGCAAGGGACACAAGAAGGTGGCTGTCCCCCCTGGGGGGAGGGAGGAGGCATCTACTCTGGTTTAAGCATGCGGCATTCCGTGGTGTGAATATAAATTAATAGAGAGGCACGGGCCGCCATGCTGGCTGAGCTGGCTCCACCTCACTAGCCAGCCAGCTCGCTCACCTTTGGCGTTGCATTTTGTGGAGATATATATATGTGTGTGTGTGTGTGTATATATGTATATATGTGTATATACATATATATACACACACACACACATATATATATGTATATATATAATTTTTTATTTTTTTGTTCTCTTGTTCACTGTGATTTGCATGCATCACCAACAAAAAGGAAAACACTCCCCATCCTGCCCTTGGCCACCGTGGTGGGCGCTGGGGTCCCGGGTGGATGCCAGGCTTTTCCCCATCCCAGGCCTCAAGGTGGGCTGGGGCTGGCCAGCTCCGGGCGAGCTGAGGGCTGCTCAGGGGCGTGGTGGGGGTAGTCACCCCACTCTCCCTTCCCCACGGCCTCCCTCTGCACTCAAGCCTGCCCCCCCATCCCTCTCACACATCCTCCAGCCTTCACACCCACTCTCTTCACCCTCAGTCCCTGATTCCCTCCAGGGCCCCCCTGCTCTTGGGGGGCCCCCCTACCCACTCCTGTCACCAGCTTTCTGACTGCACCCCTTGTCAGCTTCCCTGAAGGCCATCCTGTCGTGGCCGTGGCCTCTGTGCTCCCCTGGTGCCACCTGAGCTCTTTCAACTCACCTTCCGGCTGTGGCCAGTGTCCAGCCTCTGGGGAGGAGCCCCCAGCCCTTCAGCTCACCCCACCCCCGCCCCAAGACCCCAGCAGCCAAGGGCAGTCAGGGGGCCTCACAGCAAGCAGCTAAACATGACTTTGGTAAAAGTTTCTGAAGGTACTGACACCCCTTGAGGACAAGCTCACCTCCCCCTCCCCCCAACACCCCACCAAGTACAATAAAATACAATAAACTCCAAAAAGGACCCCCTGAGATCAAGAGAGAGAGAGAGAGAGAGAAAGAGAGGAAGATGGGGAGGAAAGAGAGGGAGAGGGAGGGGGGAGAGGGAGAGGACCACACCAGCCAATCCCAGTCCATATACAGTCACAATGCCCCCACGGCCCTCTGGGGGCAAGGACTGCAGGAGGCCTTGGTGGACTGGGCCACCGGTGTCAGTGCCCAGGTGTGGGCAACGAGGGAGATAGGGAACACCAGACAGAGACAGAGAGGCAGTGAGGGAGAGGACAGAAGGAGATGGAGAGCAAGCGTGTGCATGGACAGATGCCAGGAGCGTGGGGTGGGCAAGGGGGCTCTCTCCCGGCCCCTGGGGGGCCGCCCCAGCCCAGAGGTTACAAATGAATAAATAGTGAGTCTGCTCTCGGCCTGCCGCCTTCCGTTCACAGTGTCTGTCGGGGGGACGCACAAGGCCGGCTGACCCCGGGCTGGTGGGCAGGGAGTCAGGGGTAGATGGGCGCCCCCTACTTTCTGTCCTCAGCCCTCGGCAGCTGTCCAGGTCCCAGGTCTCCCCTGGTGGGCAGCTGGGTGGCCAGGTGGGAAGGGGGCTGGTGGCCATGCCCCTGGGCCCTCGCAGGGCTGGCCGCCACCACATGGCTACCTGAATAAGGGCAGGTGGTGTTGGCTCAGGACGCCACTAGTCCGAGGCGACTCAGTCTTCGCCATGGCATCCTTGAACCAGGACGCCACGTCTACCTCGAGCATCTCATAGCGCTTGATGAAGCTGTGTTCCTGTGGGCCGAAAAGGGGCTCAGGAACGAGGGGTCTTCCCTCCTGGCCTGGTACTCAGGCCCAGAGGCTTCGCGGGGGGCTGGGGAGAGGGGCGAGTACTCACAAGTAGCTTATTATACTTTGGTCTCTTCCTGTGATCTTTAGTAAGGCTGAGGGAGAGGAGGGAGAGCAGAGAGGGCAGCAGTGAGAGCGGGGCTCCCAGTGTCTTCCCCGTGATTGGGAGGCAGCTGTCGATGTCCTCAGCCCCCTGCATGCTGCTGGGCCCTGCCAAGTTGTGTGTCCCAAGGATGCCTGGCCCAGGGTGGTGTGGAGAGGGCCTGGGGAGCTGGAACTGGGGTAAGTGGGGCTCCCTCAAAGATGTGAGTGTGTGTACGTGTCCTACATCCCCTTCCCACAGGGGGGCCAGATACCCACAGGGCCAGCTGCTCCCGGGCCTGTTCCAAACCAGGCCACAGCTCCCAGAACACCAACTCCAGCGATCACTCCTGGCCATGAGCCTGACCACAGCCGCCCCCACTTGGTCCCAGGGCACCGCCCTCCCTCTCGTGCCCAGAACCCCCACAAGCCCGCAGGGCCTTCCACATTGGAAGGTCAGTGCTCACCAGTCTTTGACGAAGGACTGGAAGTCCCCCGAAAAGCCCATGTGGCCAGGCAGGAGCGGGGGCTCTTCCTGGAGGACTTTGGTGAGGACCTCAAAGTCCGTCTTGCAGTTCTTATAGGGGAACTGTCCCGTGGCAAGCTCCACCTGGGGAGAAGGGGGAGGGGGACAGGCAGGGCTGCAGTGGCAGGGGAGGAGCCCCGCCCTGCCTCCTCATTCCCTCTCTGCACCCCTAGAAGCCCATGGAAAGAGGCAGGACCCCAGCTCACCAACGAGATGCCCAGGCTCCACACGTCGGCTCGGATGTCATAGTCAGGCTTGGTGGGGTCTGGGGGATCGATGCGCTCAGGCTGCAGGGCGGGAGAAGAGATGGATGTACCCCGAGGGAAGGGCCAGCCCCCCAGCCAGCCCTGCTGGGCCCTACTCACTGCCATGTAGGCAGCGCAGCCGGCGCTCCTCGTCTTGGCCTTGGAGTCCACGAGGCGACCGCTGATGCCGAAGTCACACAGCTTGATCTGGCCCCGCTCGTCCAGCAGGATGTTGGAGGGCTTCACATCACGGTGGATGACGCCATGCTTCTCCTTCAGATAGTACAGCGCCTTCACAATCTGCGGGGCGCACACAAGGGGGAGGTGCCTGTGACCTGGGCCAGGCCCTAGGGATGCCCACCTGGCCGCAAGGACCCCAGACCCGCCGCTCACCGCCACGGTCATCTTGCCCAGGATACGCTCGGGGATGGGGCCCTGCATTCGCTTCTTCAGCTTCTCTGCACACGTGCCCATGAGCTCCATGGCAATGAAGACGTCCGTCTGCAGAAGGAGGGGGGCATGTGTGGGGCTGGGGCAGCTGTGCCAGGCGCTCACCCTTGTCCTGCTGAGTCTCTGGGGCACGGGCGGCTTACATTGGTGATGAAAGTGCCAAAGCACTGCACGATGTAGGGGCAGTCATGGCTCTTGAGCACCACATCCAGGTCCATGAGGATGCGCTTGTTTTCCTCCTTGTTCCCCGAGCGACGCATTTGCTGCAAGGAGAGACAGCCAGGAGGGCCTCAGTGCTGGGCCGCACGGGTGGGGGCTGGCCTGGAAGGAGGGGGGGCCTGCAGGGCTCACCTTGACAGCAATGATGTGGCCTGTCTTCCGGAAGCGCATCTTCCACACCTGACCGCAGGTGCCGCTGCCCATCTCACCCAGGTTCTCCAAGTCATTGATTTCTGCCTGGTAGCGCTGGGGTGGACAGTAGGATGTGAGGGTGGGAACATCCTCAGGGATTCCCCCTCCACCCCCCGCCCCCGGGCTCCCACAACCCAAGTCTTTCCAGCCCTTGCCCAGCAAGGTGAAGGGGGATACCTGGCCCCCGATGGTCAAGTAGCCAGTCTGCTTCATGATCTCCTGTAGCTTCTGGTCAATCTCGATGCTGGGAGACAGAGCAGGGGCTGGCGGAGGGAATTCTGGCCAACATGAGGGATCCCCAACCCCACACACCAGGGGCCCCTGGATGCGACCATTCTCCCTCCCTTCAGGCACTGGATCCCCTCCACAGCTCACCTCTCCATGCTTCGGGGTGTGAACAAGGCTGATGGGAGCCCCAGCATGTGGCGGGGCCGGGCGGGGGGCGTGGGGTGCTGAGGGGAGCTCTCTGAGGACGGCGAGCGGCTGCCCCCATCATTGGCGAGCGGGAGCTGCAGGGCTGGGGGGTTGAGAACCGGGGGCAGGGAAAGCGTTAGCACCCAGCTGCTCTCAGCTCTAGGCCTGGCATTCTGGGTCAGGGCCCTCAGCTTCCTTGCCTAGACGTCCCTCAGCTGGGCAGGCACGGCCCCTCTCCAGCTGGCTCAGGCCGCCCTCCCATCCTGGGCTATCCTCAGGGTGCCTTCTCTTGACCCTCTGACTGAAAGGACACGAGGGGCCTCACTGGACAGGGCTGTCCCCAGCCTATGCCTGCAGGGACACAAGGTGGGTGGCTTCTCTGGCAAGTCCCTTTTTTTCCCCACCTCTGTCAGGAAGCAGGCCCAGGGCCACAGTGCCCACATTGGGCCATTTAGGCTTAGAATGCTCACCAGGGTCAGCCTGGGCCCTCATATTGCCACCAGCACCAAACCTTATGTCCAAGCAAGAGCTGGTGGGTACTGGACTCTGGCTTCTGGCAGCCATGCCACCCTCCACCCCCCAGATTCTGCTCCAGAATCAGGGAGGGCCAACCTCTGGCCAGCTGACTCATCTGTGCCTTCTAGCCACACCTGTGGAGCTGGAGCCAGGGGTGGGAGAGGGACCCTAGGCTGGGCCGGCATCCTCAAGGTGCAGGGATTGGAGGGGTATAGCTCTTCCAGGGGCCAGTGGGCCTGGGCAGGGGGTAGGCACTGGCCCAGGCAGGGGGGGCCAAGGGGGGAAGTACTTCCCAGCAGCCTGCATGCGGACAGCTCGGGCATGCTACAGGCAGGCAGGCGGGCAGGCAGCGGGTACCCCAGGACAGGTAGGCAGTGTTAGAAGGGAGCAGAAGACAGACAGATAGAAGCCAAAACTTGGGGGCCAGCTGCCTGGAAAAAGCACTACAGACAGGTCAAAGAGAAGACGGAGAGGACAAAATAGGTGCCCCAAGGAGCTAGGGGTCTCCTGGTGTGGTTGCAAAGGGGTGCAGGAGCAGGGCTCAGGAGTCTAGTGTGGTTCCTGTCCTCCGGGAGGCCCTCATACCTGGGACTCTGCCTGTTGGAGAAGTAGTGAAAAAGCCCCCTCCAAGGACCTTCCCAGGGGGCCTGGGGCTGGTCCCACTCCCACAGCCCGAGTGAGGCCCTGCCCTCTTCACACATCCTGCTCTTCCCCTGCCAACTCCTGTGACTTGGGCCTAGTGAACCAAGTTGCTGGCAGCTGCTGGGACCCTGACCTCAAAACGGGAGGGGAGGAGCAAAGGGCCTGACCTGCGGTCTGAGTCGAGGGGTTGGGGAGGTGGAGTCTGGCAGGGGCTCAAGGCCCAGTGCTCAGCAGCAGAACTTGGAGGCTTCATCCCCCATGTCCTCTCCTGCTGCTCCTGGACAAGTTGTATCTCTGCTCTAGCCACGCAACTGGTTTCTGAGGGCCCCTGTGTCATTCCCCCTCCCCCCCTTACCCTACACCGTCTCTAGGAAATGCTTGGGTCCTGCCCCCAAGAGTACTGGGCTCAGCACTCTGCTCTCAAGGTTGAGAACCACACCTCAGCCTTTTTATCTGGAGGTGTCCTATGAGTCCCCTTCCCTGCACAGTCTACCAGGCCCTTGGTGGGTAGGAGAGAAGGCTGCTGGTCCCAGACCCAGGAGCACAGTGATTTTAGGGATACTGGATTAGGGAAGGTCCTGAGACAGAGGTAACAGAGGGGGTGAGTCACATGGCAGGTCAAGAGGGTGAGGGAGAGCAGGAGAGAAAGAAGTGACAACGAATGAATGAAAGGGCAGAGGTGGGCATGGGCCCAGTGACAGGAGCCATGGATGTATAGGCTGCCAGCCCAACACACATGCACACTCATTTGTGCAAATGTGCATCCACACATATGAACAGAGGCAGCACTACCATCCCTCCACGATTCACCAGTCTCTCTGCATGTGCATATGCACGTACACACAAAACCAGCACCCCCCCCCCCCCCACACACAGACAGGATGGAGACCTACCAAACGCAGCCCTACCTAGCCACACTCACACACAACCATCCACTGGGTCAATGCCAGCTGTGCTGAAACATTCCCTCCATCCTACATGCCTAGGGCAAAGCCTCACGTGGGAACGGCATGGTCTCATTGTCCAACCTGTCTGCTCTCAAACCCTCTCAGCATAGGTGCAGTCCCTTCCCTGACATTCACGTCACTTGGCTCAAATCCTAACTCTTCCAGAGACTTCTTGAAGTGAACCCCTGCAGAGCCCCTCACCCTGCTGGCAAGTTCTCCCTCCCCAGATGGGGATGTGCTGGATGCAGCCAGTGTCACCTCAGCCCCACAGGATGGGGCTCAGGCTGTCCTCATGGTATCCCTGGTGCTGAGAACAGCCATGGAACATGGAGGCGACGCTCACTCACCCCATGGCTGAGATGGGTGGCAGGCACAGCACGCCAGCCCAGTCCTACTTCCTCCTCTCCCCCACCTTCCTCTCACACACAGAGCCACACACCTGTGAGACACACACCAGATTCCCACTCACTGGGGGAGCCCATTTCTCCTCTTGAGTGAGCCAAAGAGGAAAGGGGGAGTGAGAGGGCACAGAGGAGGTGGGCCTCTGCTGCTAGCTATGGGGTGGAGTGAAAGGGAGGGAAGACAGCACACACACAGAGCATGGGGTGGGGATGGCATTCTGCGGCCGGCCGGGCAGCGGTTAGGTCAATGGTGCAGATGTCATGTCCAAGCAGGCGATGATAAAAAGGCTGGTACCTGCTCGCTGGGACGGGGCAGGAGCAGGGCTTAGAGTGATCACAATAACTGGATGGGGAAAAGGAAGAAAAAAAAAACAATAGCACGATAAATCACAACAGAAACGACTGATTTGCCCAAAAGAAAAGAAATCAAATCATAATGAGGAGGAGGGGAAGGGAGACGCAAGGCTCCAAACGACAGAGATGGGTAGGAAACTGGCAGAAATGGGAGGGTGGGAGGATGGGATGGAGCTGACAGACACAGACGCCTGGAGGGGGGCTCCTAGGGACCTGCCTGCCATGGGCCTCACCAGGCCTTGCTTTGTACTGGTGACTGCCACCCCTTCTGACCCCCCAGATCCCACACCCCGAACCATCTATGCAGGACTGGGGAAGAAGAGCCCTGCAGAGCTCAGCAGGGACCCTCCAAGTTTTTTTTTTCCCCAGGATTCTATTCCACCCAATATTCAAATGATATCACTTTTACCTCTGGAATCTCTCTAGGACTCCCCACCCTGGCAAAGGTCTCCCCAGAGAGAACACAAGCAGACTCAGTTCAGATGGAGGTATAGGAGTGAATTAGAAAGCTGTAAAAGTCAGGCTAGGGACAGGGGAGATGCCTTCCTCCTCCTGTTCAGATGGCTCCACAGTAAACTATACAAACTCCAAAGATTGTATCACAGGAGACATTGCAAAGTGTTTTTTTTTCAATAACAAGAAAGGGTATTGGTGGCTTATGCCTGTAATCCTATCTGCTCAGGAAGCTGAGATCTGAGGATCATAGTTGGAAGCCAGCCTGGACAGGAGAGACTCTTATCTCCAGCAAAAAATCTGAAAGTGGAGTTATGAGTTGAGCAGTAGAGCACCAGCCTTGAGAACAAAAGCTAAAGGAAAATGCCCAAACCCTGAGTTCAAGCTCCAGTACTACAGAGAGAAGACAGAGAGGAAAGAAGAAAGAGGAGAGAGGAGCGAGGAGAGAGGAAGAGAGGGGAAAGGGAACAGGGGAGAGACAGAGAGAGAGAGACACACAGAGAGAGTGTGTGTCATGGATAGAATTGATCACAAGGTTCTCGGCTAGGGGTGTGCGTTTGTATGGATGGACAGGGAAACAGACACAAAGATGACAGGATCAGAAAAGAAGCGAATGTTTGCTGATTGGACTCAGATACAGTCACACCAGCCTCAGGGGACCCCAGGGTGTGAGAGGAGGGGAAATTCACTGGAGTCCAGAAGACAAAGTTACCATGCTGGAGAATACTGGGATGTGTTTCTAGAGATCTAGCCATATGGAAGGGTTGAAGCTAGTCACAGGAGTATAAAGGGCCTGGTATACACAGGGTGTGAGTGGAGGGGGGGGGAGGGCAGTGTCCTGCTGAGCCTAACGACAAGGTCACCACCGCAGGCTGGGGAAAACGATCTCCAGAAATGATCACAGGAATCAAATGGGAGAATCCTCAGGGAATTTTATATGTGGGTCCAGACTGTATGTGGCCAAGTGACCGCAGGTGTCCCCACCCCCCTCCCCATCCACTAGATGAGAGGAACCCAGGCCAGACCAGGGGGGTTCTTGACCTGGTCTGATCTGAGTGGAATCACTGGATCAAAAGGGATGTGTGACTGTGTTTGCCAGTAAGAGCTGGTGGCGGTCACGGTCGTGCGGGGTCAGAAAGCCCGGTTCTGTGCAGGCGGCGGAGGATCTCTGGATCGCGGCGGTGATGGGGGCGGGTCATCAGGTTGGGGGGAGGGGAGGGGAGGGGTCTCTCCTGCAGCCCAGTCACTAGGCCCCCAGACTCCAGGGCCCAGAAAGCCCGTCCGGGGGGGGGGGGGTTCACCGGGCCCACACCCCCTGGGTCACCGTGACCCTCTTCCCCACGAACCCACAGCGGGAGAGGCGACAGGAGGGAGGAGTGCGAGCGCCCCGGAAGCGGGGGCGGGGCCTGCGGCGGGGGCGGGGCCTCCCGCGGCCCGCCCCGCCCGCCCCCTCCCCCACGCCGCCGTGCTTACTGGGCCTGGTCCGCTGGGGGCTGATATCCAGGTTGAGGTCAATCCTCCGCCGGGCCTCGCGATTCTCCTGCTTCAGTTTTGCTTCTAGGCGGGACAGCTTTTGCTCCAGGGAAGACGCCGCCATCTTCCCCCCCGGCCGCCGCCGCCGCCGCCGCCGCCGCCGCGCACCGCCGGGCCACCCGTCAGTCGGCAGACAAACACCGCACTGCGCCTGCGCCCGGATGACCCCGCCGAGCCGCCGTCTCGCCCTCCACCACGCATGTCCCTGGCTCCTACCCGCCCCTCCGGCTAGCGAATCTCCGTACGCTTGCGTACCAGATCTCAAGCTGAGAGATGACGCCACCTACCGCTCGTGGCTGGCAATGTGCAACACCTCCACCCACCACCACGCATACGGTGGTGCGCATGCGCGCCAAATCCCTAACGCTTTGGTGAGAGGCGCTGCGTGGAAATCCACCAGTCTTTAGAGTGCGGTGGGCGGGGACAACGGCGCGCAAGCGTGCAGAGGGGAGAGACACGGCTTCTACTGCGTCTGCGCGCCCTCCACGCCCCGGGCGTGTGCTGCTGACGTTACCTGTGTTGTCTCCACTGCTGGAGTGTTTCGAAGCTTCTTCGTTGGTCCTCCCTGCCTGGTACTCATAAAACTTCCTTTCTTGTCTCTGAGGGTGCCTCATTAGGATCTCTGTTATGTTTAATTGCTGCCTGATTCCCGGTGGCGCCTCCTTGCAATAATTAGGCAACCGTGGGAAGCCCTTTCCATGTTGGCCAGGCTCCAGCAAGCTCTGACTTGGCCGAGGCCTGGCGGGAGGGGTTCATCTGAGGTGACCCCAGACTTCGGTGACAGGGTCAGGGTCAAGGTCAGGGCAAGCCTTCATGGCCAGACCTGTGTGTAGGACTCTAGGACACCCCACTTCTACCTGTTCTTTGCTGAGAATGTGAGCTCAGCTCTTGGATGTGCAGAATCGGTGTTTGTGTGGGGGTGGGATGCTGGGCCTAGGTGCTGTCGCTTAGCTTTTGTGCTCAAGGATAGCACTCACTCGTGTCACGGCTCCGTTTCCAGCTTTTTGATGATTAAGTGGAGATAAGTCTCACAGACTTTTCGGTCCAGACCAGCTTTGAATCATGATGCTCTCAGGTCTCAGCTTCTTGAGTTGCTAGGAGTATAGTTGTGAGCTATTGGCGCCTGGCTGAATCAGTGTCTTGAAGATGGCCTCTGGGGTTAATGCTTTTACCTGGTGCCACACAGCCGAAACAGCAACTGTTACAGGTTCTTTTAGTCGAAAGAATGCCAGGGGAGATGTTCTCATCTGAACCTGGGTCCCTGAAGAGCAGCTTATCTCTACCCTTAGATGCCAAGAGGCAGAGATTCAACAGGTGATCAAACCCCAAGTGATCAGGGTGTGCCATGTGATCTGACCATTCTGGGGACCAACATAGGAATACCTTGGGTTTGCCTTTTTTTTTTTTTTTTGTCAGTCTTGAGGCTTGAACTTGGCCTCAACACTGTCCCTGAGCTACTCAGCTCAAGGCAAGTGCTCTACCACTTGAGCCACAGTGCCACTTTGGAGATGAGTCTTGTGGACTTACCTGCCCAGGCTGGCTTTAAACCGCGATCCTCAGATCTCAGCCTCCTGAGTAGCTGGAATTACAGGTGTGAGACACTAGCGCCCAGCTTTGGGTTTGCCTTTAAAGGCTTACTTGGACTTCTCCAATGACTTGGGTAGAGCTGACACATGTATGGACTTAAAAGGATAGCAAGGCTCATGTCTGTAATCTTGGCTATTTAGGAGGCTGAGATCTGAGGATTGACATTCAAAGCCCGCCTGGGCATGAGTCCATGAGACTTACTTCCAATTAAACAGCAGCAACAGGGAGCCAGTGGCTCACACCTGTAATCCTATTCAGGAGGCTGAGATCTGAGGATCATGGTTGGAAGCCAGCCCAGGCAGGAAAGTCCATGAGACTATCTCCAATGAACCTGCAGAAATCTGGAAGTGGCACTGTGGCTCAAAATGATATGGCACTATCTTTGAGGGGGAAAGTGCAGGGACAGTGCCCAGGCCTTGAATTCATACTCAATTTGACATAACTGACAAAAACAAACAAATACATAAATCTAGAACTGGAACTAAGGTTCACCTTGAGTTCAAGCCCCAGGACCTCTGTGTGTGTGTGTGTGTGTGTGTGTGTGTGTGTGTGTGTGTGTGTGCGCACACACACACACACATCAAAAACAATAAAACCATGGGAGGCCAGTTGTCTGGTTCATGCCTGTCATCCCAGCTGCTTGAGAGGCTGAGATCTGAGAATTAGTTTGAAGCCAACCCGGATAGGAAAGTCCTTGTCATCTCCAGTTAACCACCAAAAAGCTGGAAGTGAAACTGTGGCTCAAATGGTAGAGCGCAAAAAACAAACAAACAAACAAAAAAACGCTTAGAGACAGCACCCAGACTCTGAGTTCAAGCCCCAGGACTGGAGCACACACACACAAAAGCACCGGAGGAAAGGGATTCTCTAGTATTAAGGCAGATTTACTGATATGTCTACCTTGTTGCCCTTTCAAGCTGCCTTTGGTGCCTGTCCTTCCCAGAATTGACTCAGTTTTGATCCTGAGTTAAAACTGAGCATGTGAAACAAAAAACTTAATGATAGGAATGCACATAGAATTACAATTCTCATAATTGGTATTTATTAAGTGCACCCTGGTCTATGCTCCCCCACACAGGAACATCCCAAAGATAAAGTCCTTGCATGGCCTCAGATAAGTGTAGCCTCCATAGCAGGTGTTCTTACCTTGAGGAAATCCATGAGAAAACCTCTGGAGGTTATGCTTGCAGTTTTATGTGTTGCTTTAAGCATTTCCAGAGGAAAGAAGTGCTCAGTGTCTTGAGAGTCTCAAAAGGTCTAGAACTGAAAATGGGCCTTGGAACCCAGACATTCCAAAATCTATCCTCTCCCTTTCCCCCTTTCTCTTTTAGCAGTGCTGAGATTTGAACTCAGGGCCTGCTTGCTAGGCAGGTGCTATAACATTGGAGTCACCCCACCCCTCGCCCCCCAAGGCCTTTTAAATTTCATATTTTCAAATAGGTTTTCACTTTTTTGCTCAGGCTCTTCGGAACTGTGATCCACCTGTTCGTGCTTTCTGTGTTTCTAGGATGCCAGGTGTACCACTATGCCCAGATTTTTATTTATTGAGATGGGATCTTGTGAATATTTTTGCCCCACCTGGCCTTGAACCATGATCCTCCTGATCTCAGCCTCCCAACTAGGTAGGATTACAGGTGTGAGCCACTGTACCAGGCTTTGACATCTCTTTCCATCACAGATCAGCATTTCCATTATACAATTCCAGGACTACCTGCATTAGGAGTTACCTGGTATGCTTTTTTACGAGCAGCTTCCTGGCCCCCACCCAAAACTCCTGAGTCAGTATTTCAGGGGTGTGGCTTGGGATGTTTTCTTTTATCCTAGCTATTCAGTTGGTTTTGACACTTAGCCAAATATGAAATCCATTGTACTTATAAATAAGAAATTGGCATCAAAGTTAGGATAATAATGGGGTGGGGGGGAGTTTGTCCTTTGTGTTTGTGTCCCGTCCTTGAGAGGGAACCTCAGATGTAAGCCATGTTGTTTGTGTTACGAGGAGGGAGGATGATTGGAAAATCCCACTGGGATGTGTCCCCACTCCCATCTATGACACTAATTAACTGGAATGTCCAGAGAGAGGGCAGGCCAGCTAGTCAAAGACACACAGGTTGTGGTTTTGAGCTTGAGAATGAGGTTCCACCCCAAATCCGCAACTTCCTGCCTCTCCCCAGATGAACTAGTCCTAGGGTCTTGCCTGGGCTCCACATAGCTGACACGACTGTCAATTGTTTTCTGGGTGGGCCCATCAGCCATTTCTCTTGGAAGACATTGGTAGGGCAGAGGCATCCAATAGGCCTCCACTTGAACCTACCCCAGCCTAACTTCATTCCTCCTCCATCCTTTCTCGCACCTCTGGGGGTAGCCCCTCATACAGGGTGTCTTCTACCAGCAACCCCCCTTTCTTGAGTCCTGTGCAGTTGCCAAGTTCTTCAGGCAGTGCCTCCAACCGGTTGCCCTTGAGTTCTAGGCGGCTGAGGGCCCTGAGGGCTGCCACGTGGGGGGAGAGCTGGCTCAGATGGTTGTAACCCAAAAGCAAAATCCGGAGCTTTCGACAGAAGAACAACTCTTCTGGCAAGGCCTCGAGGGCATTGTAGGAGAGAGCTAGGTGTTGCAGATTCTGGAGGAGGCCCACGTCTGGTGGTAAGGAACGCAGACCATTATGGGACACATCCAGTAAACGGAGGCTAGAGCACAGGCCGAGCTGGGTGGGCAGTGTCTCAAGTTTATTGTGGCTGAGGTAGAGCTGTTCCAGGCCCCTGAGCTTCCTCACGTGTTCAGGGACGTAAGCGATCTGGTTGTGCCACAGCTTGAGGGTGACCAGTTTCCGACAATGCTGGAAACTCAGAATCTCCTCGATGGATCGCAGGTGGTTGTCCTGGAGGTCAAGTTCCTGCAGGGCACCTAAGCTGAAGATGGCATGGGGAATGCGTTCCAGTCCACAGGCCACCAGTTCGAGCTCCCGTAATACCACCAGCTTCTTGATGCTGTTGAGGGCGAGTAATCGGGCCCCATCATTATGTAAACTCAGTCGTTGTAGGTGTCCGGCTACATCCGTTACACTGGCTGGCACCTTTCCGGCATTGCTCCGGAGGGACAACACCTTGAGCTGCTTTAAATCCCGGAGACTCTCAAGAGTAGCCGCTCGAGCCAGCTCTGGAGCAAAGAGTCCCTCCAGGTGGAGTTCTTCTAAGCCACGCAGCCCAAACACCCAGAGGGGCACCTCACGGAGTTCCTCGCATTTCACGCACATCACTTTCAGGCGATCGCGCAGGAAGATCTGCGAGGAGAAGGGCAGCTTGGCGGGTGAATGGAGCAAACTGAGTTCCTGGAGGTTCACCAGCTGCGAGAGGCCTGGGGGAAAGGAGATGTCACAGATGGCTTCTAGCCGGAGGGCCTCTATCTCACTGAGCTCAAACACAGTGTCAGGGAGCCCAGGGAGCATGCACAGAGCCAGCTCCAGGTGACCCCGGGCATTCCGCTGCAGCTTCTGTCGAAGCTTCTCTGGGGTCCACTCATGGTTCAGGTTGAGTTGCTTGAGACGGCTTTCACTGACCTCGGAGAGGAAAACGGCAAAACGCTTGGAATAGAGCGAGTCGTACTCGTCAATGAGGTGCAGCATGAAGG